GGCCCGGCCGCCGCCGCCTCAGCGCCTCAGGAGTACCCGCTGCGCGGGGAACGCGGCCACCGCCGAGCGCCGTGTGGAGATTCCCGTCAGGTGAAAAGGCCTGGCCTGCGGCCGGTGGGGAGCGCGGGGTGAGGAAGCTCTGGAACGCAGGTGGTAAAGGAGCTCGGAGCCGGGACTGGCAGTCGGTGCCTGGCAGTCTCCTCTGCGTGGAGGAGTGCTTGCCAGCGCTTTGTTTACTTAAGACATGATGCCATAGCTGCAGTGTGAACTTTTTTTATTAAGTGCATCCTGTAAGGCTTTGCTTTACACCTCCTTTACCCCACAATAAATCATTCCGGATTTGGAAGCAGAAATGGCAGATTCTCTGCTTGTCAAACACCCATAGTGACTGTCCCTGAAACAACTACGGCAGTAGGCCTTTCTTTAAGATGAAGCAGGCATTTCGATGACAATTTTGCCAATGTTCTTGTTTTCTTCCATGATCCTGTGTGCCTCTGCAATCTCGTGCAGAGGGTAAACGCTGTCAACAAATGGTTGGAGATGAGGGGAGGTTCCTCCGGAAAAATACGGCAGGACACACATTTTCTGTGAAGGTTTTCACCAGCTGTTCCTTATACTAAATCAAAAATGAAAGCATTTTGAAGATTCCAATCATTTAATTCACAGAGGCATCTTTAAGCACAGCATACAAAATGTGCAGAGTTCTCGGGAGACTTTCTGACAGTCTCATAATGAGATGGACATGTAAACATGTAAACATCTGACAGGTGTAGATTACAAACAAGAATAAAACTTCTAGCTTAATTATATTTTAATTGAATTAAATTCTCCAAACAACTGGTATAAGCTCAATGCAGGACCATTTAAACTCAAACTGATAAAATTCTTGAGAGTATTATGTGTTAGACTACAGACAGAATCTATCCTAGGACTCTACGCTGCTGTCCTTTACTGTAATATCTGAAAATTTTCCACATAAAGTGATTTTTCCTTAGTAATTTCTGGGTACCCAAATGGCCTCCGTCTCTACTTTGAAAAATGATCTAATAGAGGTTTTTCTTCCCCCTCTGCCCCCAACTTGATCAAGTTGCCTGATCACTTGAGTTTTGTTTTTTCTTAGGCCAAATCTTTAATTTATGGTACTTGTGAAGTACATTAAGAAGTCCTGGGTATTATTCCTCTGATTCAGTAGTTGTAAAAGGGAGGCATTTGCTAAAAACAGAAAAGGGACATCATAACTTAATTTTGCAATGTTTTTGAAAGTATGTAGTAACAGTTCAAAGTGGTGCTTTTTTGGTAATAATGCGTTAGATTCTGCTTTAACACTGGTATCAAAAGAGAGCTCTCAAAACAAGATCAAACTGTATACACTGTTGCAGCCATTACTTGCCTCCTTGTCTCGTGATCGTAATAGACTTGTATGGATGCTCGCTCTTTTGGAAAGCAGCCTTGCAAGCAAATCTCCGTGTACTTCACCTCCACTCAGTAGTCCATAAATAATCCACCGGCCATCAGTACTCAGACAGTTGAGATTCTTCTCCCAGTATGAGCCACCAACACAATCTAAAATAACATCTACTCCAGAACCTCAAGTAGAAACAGAAAAGACTTCAGCAATGTAGTCAAGCTACATTAAAAGTAGGATAATTTCATGCAAAAATGAAGACCTTTTCAAGACCTTTCAATAATCAAGAACTTTTCACTAAAATCTTCATTCTTGTAGTTGAACCCCGCAGCTGCTCCAGCATTTGCTATTGCTTTCAGTTTCTCTTCAGTTCCTGCTGTCACGATGGGAATTGCTTTGCCAGTCTTACTAGCTGAATGGCTGCCATACCAACTCCACTAGCTCCAGCATGGATCAGCACTCTCTCACCCTTCTGTTCTTTATAGGTACAGAATCAATTCTGCAATTCTTATTTAAATCTTTCTACTGAAATTAGGAATTGGCACAATGACTTGTACGGGATTCTAGAATCAGGCACCAAAAAAGAATCACTGTAGATATCTAGATGCAGACTCTGTCATAAACCATCCCAAATGCTTAGAAAAGCTCCATTTTTCCAACAGTAAGAGAACTTAAGTTTTGTTCCCATGTTCAAACACTTACAAAGACAAGTGTGAGGATTTGGTCCCCCAGGTACTTGTGGAGGCAACAATAACACAGGTACAGTATTTATGCCCCAAATGAACACAAAGCCAAAGAGAGTCCATGCAGAAAATGGCACAATTACAGCAAGGAAAGGTACATTCTTGGGCTGAACAGGATGGTAGGTTGTACTACTGGGGTCATTACTGTCTGCTCCTTCACCCACTAAAGTGACAGTTGAAATTGAGTTCAAGTGCATAAACGTTAGGAGGTACACACTCCTCAACTGTAACAGCATCTGTCACATAGAGGTTCTTACCTTGGGTGAACGCCAAGACCTTTTCACTAAAATCTTCATTCTTGTAGTTGAACCCCGCAGCTGCTCCAGCATTTGCTGTTGCTTTCAGTTTCTCTTCAGTTCCTGCTGTCACAATGGGAATTGCTTTTGCCAGTCTTACCAGCTGAATGGCTGCCATACCAACTCCACTGGCTCCAGCATGGATCAGCACTCTCTCACCCTTCTGTATTTTACCTGAAGGAGGACGTAACGGAAATGGTTACCCTTTTGGCATCACCTTTGGATTAAAATGTGATCGGGGTGGAAAATACTGAAGAGGAAGCTGAAAGAGGTGCCCTTGAGTGGGCTTTGTTTACATCTTCATGTTCGTCATCAAAGAAACAAATCCAGAGCTAAGAGAGCTCACAGTGTACCGACAGCACTCCATTTTACCGACTTCAGTGGAATGACTTTAGCTTAGCCCTGTCCAGTTCTGGGTATCCGTGACCAAGCTCCTTAGGTGAGTGCTGTCAGCCTTTTTATACCGGGACCATCCACTGCTGCTGACAGAAAACACACTTGGAGGATGTTAATACTGAGAAATCAGGGACTCAACAGTGGAGAAATACCAAAAGCACTGGAAAACATTAAGGACCAGTTCGACCTTTCATTTTACCATCTATCATTTGCCTTAACGGATTCATTTGTGTTCCACTGATTGCTACTGGAAGTGAGGCACCAAGTAGTCCTGGAGATGTGGTCCTTATTGACTACAGACCCCCAGGAAGCAACAGTGCTCAAAGCGAGTAACTTTCCTGTAGTGAGGAAAGTTACTTGTCTGTAACTTCTGCTCTTTAGTGGAGCTTTTAGGTGCTACTGCTGAAGAGGGTAGAAGAAGGATGTCAACTGCGGAAACCGTGGCAAGTGCTACTGTTAATGCCTCAGTAGCACATTTTCAAAATGAAGAGTGTGAGCTTCCGTCTGTTTTAAATCAGCTCAGAGGAGATTTTACCTACAATTAAGGTCTCTGTGAAACAAGGTATGAGAAGAAGTTGTCTACTGTAGATCCACAGGCACTTAGTGAGAAAGTTTATTATATGCAAGTTTATATATAAACTTGCAGCAAGTTTGAATCTTTAGAAGTAGGATGTGTTTTCAGTTGTTTGGAGAACACGTAAGTTATTTCAGGGGTCAGGCTTAATGGAAATTGCTATTCAAGCTGAGAAATATAAATGAAAAGAAAAACTGACCATCTTTCCATATCCTTCCTTGTAAATACGCAATCAGCAGGGTAAGTTGTGACTGGGGAGATGTGGTCAAAATTTCAGGATTTGGGTCTGGCATACTGGATTCTGACCCACATGAATGGAGTTACAGAGAGAAGGCTCTTTGAAGGCAAAGAGCATTCAGACTGAGACAACAAAGAGAGGATTTCATAACAGAAAGGAAGACAAGCCATTTTGGTGGGACAGATTCACAAATACGCCTCTCACCTACAAAATGCAGCAGCTGAAAGGCTGTTAACCAGGCTTCAGGAATGGCTGCAGCCTGAATGAAAGTCATATCGTTGGGAATTGGCATCAGGTAGCCTTCGGGTACTGTAACGTATTCTGCCTGGCCACCTCCGGAGAGCAGAGCCATCACTGCATCACCAATCTTCCACTGGCCCTTGCAGCCAGGTCCGAGCCCAGCCACGCTCCCAGCTGCTTCTAAGCCTAAAATATCACTTGCTCCTTTGGGGGGAGGGTACTTCCCTCTCCTCTAAAACAAAAGAAAAGAGAGGGCAAGGAAGGAAAAGCCGCACATCGGTGAGTGTAATGACCTGCAATATTTTGTTCACATGCCTCCAACCTAAATTCCTATTTATTTAATCCTGATTTTGCTCTATGCAAATGTTCCAGTAATTTAAGAATCTTCTGTCCTCTGGCAACGCTTCTTGTTTCCTAAGTATGTTTTATTCTTAAAACTCTGTGTGCAAATTCAATTTATTGCAAGCCCGCTTTGTCCAGGCCAGTCCGTGCTGGGGAGGCATTATGGTCTCCAGTTGCAGAGCGTGGCTTTCAGCTCAGATTAAAGCAGCTCAGACTTAACAATTTGAATGTGATTTTCCCCCGCTGGAACTGAGCCAATGGAACATTTCATGTTTGTCTCAAGTGCCCGGAGAATGGTCTAAGCATCTAGAAAGACTGGAGCTTTGGCTTTACATCTTTTCTTGAAAGGCAGCTGCCTTTCCATGCCACCCCAGTATTGCAGTGACCCAGAACAAAACATTTATCTGCTGAATCAACAGATATCTCTTCTTTCAGCCCAGTGAACTCTCCCATCTAAATGCTCACCAGGCCCAATCTCTTTTAACTCTTCAGATTCATCAAGACTTCAGATAGGGGCTTGAAAAATTTGGGTCGTTTTCAGGTGCATAAATCTCCTTAACATACACATACCTGGAGTAAATCAGCCCTATTCAGAGCACTGGCAGAGACCTTCACAAGAACTTCTCCTTCTCCTGGATATGGTTTCATCACTTCTTTCACATAGAGATTTTCTGGGCCTCCTGGGCAATCAAAATAGACTGCCAACATTTTCTCTGGAAAGGAAAAAAAAAAACAAAACACACGCAAAAAACCCAGCATGAATGCAGGCACACTTATGTGCAGCTGGAAAATCTCAGTAATCAGTAACCACAGCTCCACAGACTCCACTCTGCAGATGGACAACGCAAACTGTGACACAGTTCGAAGGCAGAAGAGGGGAGGGCTGCCAGAAGAAGCTGAGGAGTTATAATGCAATGAAACACATTAGCACTGGGATACAACATATCATTGCAAAAGCCATGTGACAAACGATGAAGATGACCTTGCATCAAGTCATAGGCTTTAACCCTGCACCAAGCCACGCGTGGATCCAGCAGCACTGGCTACCTACCCACCTTAACTGTAAAACGTAACACATAAATGACTGCCTGCACGGTTAGGGCTCCAGTGCTCAACTGACTAAAGGACACAGGCCCTTAAAATAGTAGACACAAATGGGATTTTAAAACTCGCAGCAGAAAGAGCCTTTATTTGACACATCTAAAATTATGATTCAGCCCACAGATGGCAACTTGAAGGTACACAAAGGCACAATGGTGAGTTAGAATAAATGAAAGATAACAAATGGTTTTAAAAATTCCTATTTCCCTTGCTTCAGCAGGTGATTCCTGTGTGCCTGATGTGCTCTAGTAAAGAGTCCGACTGCTGCAGGAGTCTTTCAAGTAACTCCTCAGACACGGTTCCTCGGTTTTGGCACCAGCAGTTGTTGAGATGGGCTGAGATATCAAACCTCCTCCCACCTGGCAAAATCAAATCTGGAGCAGTCTTCCTCTGCCCCCCTGGGTGCTGGGTGGAAGGAGATGAGAAGAAGAGGGAATCCCAACGGGAATGACTGCATTACTTCCTGAGAGCAGGTACTATACTAAATACAGTATAGGGCTGCTGCCCAAACATGTGTGCAGGGTGCACTGCAAGCCAGAGCCTCTTCAAGTAAACAGCATTGTGTGATAAAACAGCATGCCCTCTGTAAAAATCACTTGCATTATGGTATCTGCACAGGGGAAGCTAAGTGCATACTTAATTATTTGTGGTAAGACTGCAAATGTGAAATGATAAACACCTTAAAACCCCAGGAATGTAAATCCCCACGGGGTGGTGCACTATGGCTATTTTATGGTGAATAAACACTTCCAATTATGTGTATAAAATGTAACTTAAAGGCTTTTATTTCAGAGACTGGTTGTCTATTTGTTGTTTTCAGCCAAATGATTTAATCCAGTCCCACAAAATGTGTCTGTATTAGCACAAAAACTTCATGGGAAGCCCACCAGGTACCACCCCACAACAGATCCTTCTGCTCTCTTAATCTGTCCAAATTTAGCCAATTAAAAATAAGAAGTGAAAGAACCTTTTGTCCCTCTTCCAACACAGTCCACTAACCTGCTTTCTTATAAACACTTGTCTTTGTTGCTAGAAGCAGACCCACCACCAAAAAAAAAAAAAAAAAAAAAAAAAAAAAAAAAAGTGAGGATTCAAATGCCTACATTGCTTTCAAATGCACAGAAAACCACAGGAATTGAAAACCAAGTTTCCCACCAAGTGCAACAACTTCAAACTGTCAGATCTGCGAGCAGTGGCCCAAAACAACAATTTAAAGAAGTTACGTGTTCCTGAACATGATTTGTGACTCACCTTTTTCCTATAAAGAAGGGAGGATGTTCTCCGCGCCGGGAACACACTCAGCCTGTCCTCGGGAAGAGAGTCTGATCCCAGTTCCACCCCTCCCAGCTCTACCCTTGCTATCAGCCATTCCCCAGCGAGTCAAGGGGTGGAACAGGACGAGGTTGTGTTTTACTTTGGAGGGAAAGACAGGAACAGAGTCAGAAATATTAGTACATCTCATCATTATTTCTACCCACGGACCTGGTTTATTCCACGGATTGAGGCAGAAATCTACCTTCCCCTTTGGCATTGAGGCAGAGATCTGCTGCTTCCCCCCCCAGCACACAGCAAGGTTTGGTCTAATGCCCTTGCTGTACTGATCTGCTGGATGTGCATTTGTGTGTTCTCGGGCAGATCACTGAACTGCTGCTTTGATTTATGAACTCTGGGTAGTGCAGACCAGATTTACTTAAATTGCATTAAGGGCACATGGGCTGTGACCGTCCTTATGCTATATATCCACCTGAGCAGGCTTTATTGTGCTCTTGTTCCCATAAGACGTCAGTGTTCAGAGTTTACTGGTTCACATTTGTCAACCCTGTGCGTTTCTACCTGATGCTTTAGCTGCCAGATCCCACCTCTTAGTTGAGCTTTGCTGTTCACCCAGAGGGAGAAGGATCAGATCATGCCTTTCTCCATGTCCTAGTCACCATTGCTTGAGTATATGAGAGTTGTTGGGGAATAAAACTGACACTTCAGAGTATTTAAAAATGATAAATCATATGTCTGCCCATGTGTGAGATTCTTCTGTGGATTTTTTTCCCATTGATTTTTGGATTCAGGCTTTTAAACTCTTCTTTGAAACTAAACTAATTTAGAATCAAATATAGCTACAAATTCTTTTGTTCTCATGTAACTCAAAGAGCTAATAATTTATTTGTTTCTGCAGATAAAAAGATCATGGAGTCTGGTCTTCTTGAGACTGCTCTTCACCTGGTGATGTAGGCAGAGCCTCAGCTGTCCCCTCTACTGTATTGAGTTCACTCAAATGTGGATTCTTTGGTATCTTACAGTACACACAGTCTCATTCAAGCCTGCCAGTGACTTTGTCCCTCCTCCCCATTACAGAACTTTGCAATCCACTGCAATTTAAAATAACTTTCTGTATGTTTCAATTACAATGCAAATTGACATGTTAAAAATGTGTTTTATTTGTAATATTGAAAGATGTACAGGACAATCTGAAGATCTGTTAATGTAACAATTTCCTTTGTCCCTTGGGTCCATGATGATGCACATAGCTTTAATGCTGTGACAAGTTTCTTTGCTTAGGGAGATTAATAATTTTGTTATCTGGAAATAGGCTAAAAGACAACATTAGAAAGATTAAGCAGAGCATCTTAATCCAAATCTTGAAGACATTACTTGCAATTCAGTTAAGAAACTTACATGATAGATGTATAGGGTAGTGTGCAGTGAGCTCTCAAGTGTTCTTGAAAAAAACAGAAGGAAACTCAGCAGTTGGAATGTTGTAAAGAAGTAGTTTCTTGCTTAAACTGGATAACGCTTCAAACTTCTATACTTTATTTGCTTGTGAGCAGTCCTTCTGATGTTGATGAAGTTCAAGTTTTCTGCTGATTCAGCTACCTTTCTCTCTAAAGTAGTCTGCTATAATAACACAAGGAAATAAATAAATTAAAAAAACCAGTCATAAAATCATATACAGAATTGCTTTTTTTCAAGTTCAAATCCACCTCAGACTATACTGTACTCAAAAGAAGACAGATGTATTTCTAGCTGAAAATTAAAAATACTAATACTTCTATTCATGAGGTATTACCTGTTTTAAAGAACAAACACTGAGCACTTTCAATCATTTTCAGAAATCTCTTGTAAGGTGAAGAAAAGCTACTTTGTTTTCTTTTTGCAAAGAAATAATCCAGAGCAGCAAGAATAAACTCCAGAAAATACACATTGTCCAAACCACTGCAAATCTAGCCCTGGAAACACTTAGACCTTAGACTTTACTCAGGATCACTGACTAATTACGGACAATGTAATTATATGCAAGACCAAATAACTTGTGTGCAAATTGTTACCGGATTTTGCAAGTGTTGGCATTTTTTTGCAATCTCCCAACTTTACACTTTCTACTTTCCTCCCGTGGCAGCAAAGAAGCTTGTGTGAACTGTGATATGGCTCCTGGATTTATTACTGAGCCAGCTGGACCGACCTGGGGCTAAATAACACGCTGGCACCTTTTGGATCTGCTCCAGCTCCATTTGTAGTACTGCAGAAAAAGACTAGGATAGAGCTAGTCTGAAGTTAGCTTAAAATATAAGGCCCAATTCTTAGATTTAGTAAGTCTCATTAATGCTTCCCTTGATGGAAACAATCCCTTGAAAACACTCCCTCCATACCTGGAAGGACGATTCTGGTTTGGTAGTATTTCATACCCGTTTTGACGGAGTGATTAAAAACTCCTGTTGATGCTCTCAGTAGACTTAACCCAGCAGGCGTCCTTGAGGTTACCACTTGAAGCTGTTCTTAATCTTATGCCAAACATTACCAGGATGGGAAATCTCTCTGTTCCTCATTTCATAGCCCCACACATAAATGCCTCCCAAAATTTGTAAAATTTGGAGTTAATGTGCTGGCCATACATGCCAGTGACAAAGACCTATAATACCTCATCTCTAACAGATCCATCACAGCTGCTAAATATGACAGGGATGAGGCAGAATCATCTCTGGAGTGCAAGAAAATCGAGGATCTCCAGGCAGTGCCGTGGTGGTACAATGGTTTTGTGCTCAACCTGCTACGAGACACTGACAAAAACAATGGCCAAGAACAAAAGAAAGCAGAACATAACATAAAGCAACCTGAGGTTTCTCTAATAGTTGAGGCTGAAATGAACATAGGAAAGATCAAAAAAACATGGGCAATCTGCTTCCCCATTCTCCTGGCCTGTCTGCAGTCAGATGCGTTTTGGTTAAACAAAACGTGGGGGCTGTGAAGTGTGAGGGAGAGGCTGCAGTGGAGGCCAGTCTCTGCCAGTCTGGCACCCAGCACGGACCCACCAGCCAAGAACCAGGCTTCTGAGGACGCAGCAGGCAAATTTGGTTTAAAACCTGCATTACAGCCTCTAAAAATCCTGTTCTTGATCATAGCTTTTTAAATTGTAAAAGCCTTTTGAAAAATGTCTGATGAAAAAAAAAATGTTACTGAGAGTCTTATAGCTCATTCCAGATGAAACAGCTTGTGCCCCAAAATGCAAATTAATTCCACTTACTTTTAGGCATCTAAATGAGGAATAAAAGCTAGAGCACAGTGGGCCTACAATTTCATTCCTTTTCAGTCAAAGGAGATGGGCATATCCATGGATTAAATT